CGCGCGGAGGGAGCGAAAGGCGCGGGGAGGGTGAGGGAGGTGCGGGAAGAGAGAGAGAGGAGCGGAGAGAAAGGATTTTTCAGGCGCCTCAAAGACGAATCCGAGCGTGGTGGCCCCGTGCTGCGGCTTCCCCATCGCCGACGCCGCGCTCTGGAACCCGTCCAGCTGCAGCGAGGAGCGCGCAGGCAGCGAGAGGTGCGGGGAAGAATCGAGAGGAGAGGAAACGCGAGAATAGGATGGAGAGGAGATGATGCTGAGAGATATCGAACCGTGCCAAGCCTAGACATGGATTCCGTCGAGGCGAATAGAGCTGTGCGGAAATTCCTTACAGCTTTCGACGTGCCGGTACCCCTTACTAAGCGAAAATCCGGTATTGTGTGTCTAACAAATCGTAAAAACTACTCGTTCTCAAGAATATGCGGGGCGTGAGGAATCGAATCGGCTCACATCCTTCACGGCAGGCAGCGGGAATGACGGCGCGGCGAATCCGATATCTGCGTCGTCGAAACGGCCGGGTTGAAGCGACGGCGGATCCACGAGGCTCATGTCGATCCGCATCCTGGCAAGCGGAAATTCGACGGAAGCGCTAGATTATCGCTGGTAGTGGAAGGTAATTAGGACACGACAACGCGGCTAAGGGCCCGTCGAGATTGGGGGAACTACTGAATGAACGCACATAGAATGAGGAAAACAAGACGAATGGTGTCTGCGTTGCGGAGTGTCGCGCAATATCCTTAGCTAACACGATTTGTGCGAATGTTGTTCGGATTCTTGTACGTGTACATTCTCCATAGGTGTAGAGGATTGCATTGTTTCCTTGGCTAAGAAATAACTGTATGAGGATGGATATCAGTGTTCTGCTTCTGTTCGTACCCGCTATGAAAAGCATCTAGGCGTGCTTCTGAGAAACACCACCTCGCAGTAGTCACAGCACAGCACTCACCACCGCACAAGCCATTCTCGAAGCCGAATCGCCCTAGAGTTCCCCCCAACACAGCCCGGCTGCTGCGCCGTCGTGACACCAGTGTGTGCGGAGACGCACGAATCGCGTGACAGGACTGCGCTTGGGGGGACAGGGGCTGGGGCGGGCGGAAAGTCCCAATTCGTCAGTCAGGGGGAGCCTGCTTGTCAGTGGGAGGGCGCAGAAATGCGGCTCGTCGGTGGAGGAATTTCTGGCGGAAAGACATGTCGGAATGTCTGCCTGCACTGCCAACATTCTCTTGGGAACATCGGCTTCAATGGTGCTGGTGTGAGTTGGCACTGGCATGGCTCAAACTCCGTAGCTATTCTCAACAGAGAGAAATTTTCGGCCGAAACGGAAAATCAATGATTGCGCTTGAGACCGTCCGCGAGCGATATATTGCATAATATAATCTGCTTAAACGATCATTCAGTGAGCTCCTGTTTAGAAAGCTGCCTCATAAGCGTGTGCGACGGACTGTGACCTCGTCTGCTCATAGAATACTCTCTATCAGATCAGTACTCCCCAAGTTCGCCATCCTCGTTCTCTCATCACAGAAGCGCAGTCACTGCAATGGGCGATCCACTTCTAAATAGAGTCCTACAAGCGTGCTGTTTACTGCTCGCCGTCTTCCAAGCAGTCCACGCTGCTCATTCACCGCTCTCAACCGACGATGGCGCCAACGTGACTCGTCGCATGGCCCTGGTGGGTCGACTACCTCGTTCGGCTCGTTCAACAAATCCTCTAGCCGCGCCTCTCGGCTCGGGCTTCTGGTCCGTCAAGGGCAACCAGTTTGTCGACGCATATGGCCGCGTGGTACGCGATCCCTGCCTTTCCTGCATTCCTACCTCTCTGCCTCGTTGACTCCATGCCGTGCCCTCCAGTAATCTCCATCCCGCAAAACCCACCGCGTTAATCCATTTTACTTTCTCCTTCATTTTACCTCCCTGCCTTTCATCGCTTTCCTTTTTTCGGTCTCTGGTTCATTTCTCGGTTTCCCTCGTTTCCTCCTGTCGCTTCCTCCCATCGCGCCTAATCCCGTCCCCCGCGTCTTCCCCCGCGTCTTCCCCCGCGTTTCTCCTTCGGGCAGGTGCGCTTCTCCGGGCTGATGTGGTCGGGGTTCGAGTCCGACGTGGCTGTCGTGCACGGGCTGTGGGCGCGCAGCTACGATTCGTACCTCGACCAGATGCGCAAGCTGGGCTTCAACGCCATCCGCCTGCCCTTCGCGGGAGACGCGCTCGAGCCCGGCTGCTACCCCAAGAGCATCGACTACGGCAAGAACCCCGACCTGCAGGGCCTCAACTCGCTTCAAGTGATGGATAAGATCATCGCCGCGGCCGGCAAGCGAGGCATGAAGGTGATCTTGGATTACCATCAGCACCACCTGCTGCTGAATCTTCCCACCGAAGGTCTCTGGTACGACCCCACCACGCCCCCGAAAAAGTGGCTGCAGCGATGGATCATGCTCGCGAAACGGTACCGTGGTAACCCGACGGTCATTGGCGCGGATTTGTTGAACGAGCCGCACTTCAACGAAAAGACCGCGCCGTTCCCCTCGCCGTACTGGGACGTGGAGGGCAAATACGAGAATCCTCCGCTCAACTTCCGCACCGCCACCAAAATGTGAGTCCCGCCATTGTTCCCTCGTCCGCCTTTGGTTTGTCTAGAGATCCTCCTATCCAGTTCGCAAAATTGAAGCTTATGATGCTTCCGCGAGCGCCGATCTTGCCCGTTCCCTGTGCTCAACCCTCTCCCCGTCCGCGCTCACCGTGCGTGTGTGCTCGCGTGCAGTGTGGCGGCGGCGATTCAGCGCGTGAACCCAGACTGGATCATCTTCCTGGAGGGCATGCACAACGACTACTGGTGGGGCGGCAACTGCCGCGTGCTCATGAAGGCGCCGCTAAAGCTCACCGTGCCCAACAAGCTTGCCTACACCGCTCACGAGTACGGCCCCTTTGTCTACTTCCAAAAGTTTTTCAACAAGACCGTCACGCCGAGTTTCCCGAAGAACCTGCCCGGGTTGTACAACCACCACTGGGGTTTTATTCAAAAGAAGGGGTACGCGCCGGTGTGGGTGGGTGAGTTTGGGTCGAAGCTGCCGCCTCCGGATTCGGAGCTGAACCGGGTGGAGCGGACGGTGTTCTTCACGCTCATCAAGTACATGAAGGCGCTCAAGGTGTCGTGGACGTTCGCCTTCTGGGGGCCGCTCAGCAAGGACACAGGCGGGATTCTTAACGACGACTGGTACACTGTGAGGCAAGACAAGCTTGATGCTCTCAAGCCTATCATGTATCCTAATTTTGCCTAGGTGCTGCTGAGCTGCTGGAGACCACACATGGGAGTGGGTTCCGCAGTGTCCTGGATTGGTGTGCTGATGGTAATCGTCAGTGTACCTGGCCATGCGTTATTCTTGTTAGTCCCCTTAGGTGGTCTGCGAAAAAATAGTCCTTTTTTGTTTTGTTCTGATTTTTTTATATATATGCCCATTAGGGAAAGGCTAACTACAGTAGGTCAATGTTCAGATATATCGTGTAAAGGTTTTACGTTCAAGATAAATGAGGGAATGCGTCATTCTCTAATGAAGTTGTATCCCGCTGTACTGTACATACCATACAGCACCGCAGAATTGGTCCCAAAAAGCATTAAATGCTTGTTGTCTGGCGTGTTCCGCCAGTTGAATAATGACAGGGTTCAACATTGATTTCATAGATTCTTCCCGATTTTTTATGCCTGCTGCTGCAACAGCAAGAGGCTGTCGGATATCGCTCGCTACTGTCACATAGCCAGTGGGAGGCCATGATTTTTTCATCCAGGCAAACCTCCACCACACGCAGACCACACACACCATCACCCACCCCTGACCAGGCCTGTCGATTCACGGGCATTTGCCCGTTTGTCCTGAGAATTCAGGGCTGGGTTTGACGCACCTCAGAGATTTTAAGGGTTAGTTCGCGAGGAAGCCCGTAAGGAAAACGAACTGGTTTTGCCCTTGGCCGGACCCTAACGGACTGGTTCTGGGCCTTGCCCAGATTTCCGTGTATGTCCCCCCCTCCTCCTTTCCCGAACTAGCTTCCCCTTGGAGTTTCTTGACCCCTTATCCGCGAATCCGCCTCAAACACATTTAGTTGAAACTTCATAGTTCTTGTAAGCGGGTATGTTGCTGGCTGCAAATACACTAGGCATGAAGTCAGCCCTGATTCTTACTGGCCAGCCCTGATTCTTACGGGCCAAAATCAGCCCCTACCCGGATCCTTCCGGGCTGGTTTTGGGCCAGCTCAACTTCTTAAGGGTTGGGTTTAGAGTAAGCGACAGGCCTGCCCCTGACCCTCCCTTTGTTGCCACAATTTTCTGTTCCCTCCATTTACTGTAGACGTACGAGCAGCCACTTTGTCGGTACACAGATAGATATTGATCTGGAATCTAACGCATCATTTGTCACTCATGGTTTAAAAAGGTTGTGTTGCGGTATTGGGATTTATAGCGCGGTGAAGTGCGTTACGTTGCCTCCTTCCCTGCCCCTCCTCCACTGCCACTCCTGTCTCTCCAGCTTCCCAACACTGTAACTGTACATAATGTATTATCTTCTCCCTAAACTCACACCATGATTTCTGGGTGTGTGGTGGAGAGAAGAGAAGAGCAAAGACGGAGCACCCCCTACCTCACCCTCACAGAATCCGCTGCTCGTTTCCGCGTTCCGCCAGTCATGGAGGGCGCAGGCAGCTCCTTGAGCTGACAGCTTGTGCCAGCTTGTGTCATTTTCCGAGATAAATAAATATCTTACGCAATTCAGCCATACAGGTTGCATAAGCGCCCCTGCGGTCATTTACCATAGCATTGCTAATTTCCTCTTTGGGCTAGTGAGCAAAAGAAGTTATCATACAGTGTGTCGTTCGGACCTCTCTTACTGATAGGAATTTTAGCCGACTCCGCTTTTTCTTCTCGTCAGAATCTGCGCGATCTTTCCGTTTCTTTCCGTTGCCATCCATTTAACCCTAATCGTTTGGCAATGGAAGTTGGCCCTCGAGTTCGAGCCAGCCACATGCCGGCGAGCAAGCCGACTCTGCTCCTCGATCTGCGCCTCACCAATGCGTTGGACGACCAGCAGCCCACCCGCTGCCGCAACTCCTCCTGGCACGACGCCGTATCCAATTCATTATTCGACGCGACGCGGAGAGGCGACTCGCTACGCGCGGACGCAAGTGTGGGCGCCGCGGAGAAATTTGCCGCACCGCACGGCCCGGGGGTGACGTTTGAGTCGACTTCGACGCATATGAGAGGAACCGGCGCCCGGGAAAGCCGAGCGTGGCTGGAAATCGAGGAGGAGTGGAACGAGGAAGACGAAAGCGAGGAGGGCGACGATGCGGCGATGCTGGACGTCGACGCGTTTCTCGGGCGGCGGTTAACGCGCGAGCCGAGTTTTAGCATCGAGGACGCGGCGCTGTACGGCCTGCCGGGTGAGCATCTCCGCGTGCTCGTTGTTCGGCTGTCTGAGTTGAATTGTCTAATTATAGGGTGTCATTTTGCGTGTAAGTGTACCTTGTTTTCTTCTCCCGCGATCGCGATTGGACGTTATTTCTGGCGCGCATTGTCGTAACACGCGACCGGTGTTCCACCTTCTCACTCAAATAGCTCTTTCCCTCCCCACCCATGCCTTGTGCGCGTGACTTTTCAGAGGAAGTGGCGACTCCGCGCCCCGCGTCAGCGCTATTCACGGCGAGCGACAGCGAAGCAGCGGCGCTGCGGCTCGCGGTGATGGAAGCGGAGGTCAACATAGTCATGGAGACGAACCGCCTCGTGTCCGCCATCAAATGCCAGCTCACCTCCCCCTGCTCCACCATCCCGCCCCGCTCCCCTTCCGCCACGGGTACCACCTCCCCCTTTTCCCCTCCCCGAACCCGAACCTCCTGGGACTTCCGCTCCTTCTCCTCCCCTGCCTCCACCCCCTCCTCCGCCTCCGCCTCCGCCCACTCCGCCCTCTCCCCCTGGCGCCGGAAAACCCCCTCAGTGTCCCCCACTGCTGGGTGGGCCTCGCAAGTACCAGAGGAAGAGCCTGTCTTTGGTTCCCCCATGGCTGATCGCGCCATCTCTCGCTCCCTCACCTCCTCGTCGCTTCTTCCCTGGCCGCGCTCGTCGCACATCACCCGCTCCCACACGGCATCGTGCGACCGCCTGCCTGCGAGCTTCGTGCCTCGCAGTGAGTCCAACTGCTCGGCGACTTCCTGTGCTGATCGGTCACCGTTTGGTGGTGTGGCTGGTGGTGGTTGCGAGCGGAACATCTCGCAAACACGCCTCCCGTCGTTTTCGAATGGGACGGGAGGAGCTCCTGTGAGGAAGATGCTGGGGGCGTTGAGGCGGCAAATGAGCTTGCCCAGTGGCAATTGGCTGCAACACAAGCCATCAAGAAGAGAATCCGTGGCTAGTCATAAGGATGAGTAGCATAGCAGTATGTTGTTTTGCAACTGTTTGAGGTGGGCGAAGTGAAGTCAGATGCTGTGAACACAAAAATTGATAGTGCTTTTGTGTAGATTTTTATTCCACTAACGAATCTGAGCTCACACTGGTTTGAGCGATCGTTCAGGAAAGTGAATCGAACTGTACCGCGCATAGCGAAGCAAGCACCCATGGTCCAAGGGCTAAGCTGGTAGGAGACGTTCCTCACTCCAAGATTTGTCTTGTCTTTCGCGGATGAACGTTACCTCGCCGTCTCGTCGTTGCGATCTTGCGCCTATGTTTCCGGCGCACGCGGTCTGCTGAGATCCCAGCAACGTAGAGCGGTCGCCGGCCAGCTCGTTGCCGGAAGGAACTGATGTGTGATTTTTGCGCAACCGCGAACCATGGAGTTAAGGTCGCGAGGCGTTTCGGAGTGGTAGCACTGGGGGAATCTTAGGTTATATAGAGTCTGTCTTACGATAGGCATCATAATTAGGATTGTATTCATTCGTGCGCGACATAGGGCTAAGCTTTACGCGGCGTTTCGGGTTATACCGTCGATTTCGTTTCGCTCGTTTCGTTTCCGACACGTTGCCAGGCGAAACAGGTGCCCTAGAGGCATTAACCTAGGAATTTAAAGCCTCCTTCAAAGCTTGAGTAGCAGTGAGAACGACTCGAAGGAGGCGTAGGGGCGAGACGACCGTTGAGGCGCTAAGAAGTCGTGGTCAAGTAAGGGAGGCAGCGAGCGCAGGAAGGAGGAGGAGGGGCGAAAGGTAGGAGGAAGGAGCGCGGCCGTCCATCGCCCGTCGTTCGGCGTGCGGCGTGCGGTTTGCTGCGTGCGGCGTGCGAGGAGGAGGCATGGCGTCTGCGGGGAGCCAGCAGCAGCAGGTACAGCGTGCCCGACTCGCTGCATCATGGCCCGACTCGCAGCGTTACAAGTTACCACCAGGCGATGCTCGCAGCACCATGGCGCGCGCCTGTTGCGGAATTACGCGCTGCGCTTGTTGCGGCGGAGGAAATCGCGGGGCTGAAAGGGCGCGCGTGGCGACCAGCGGGGCGGTGCTGCGGAAGAAGCCACTGGGTGGCGCATGCGCGCGCTCTCCCGCATGCGCGCACTCATGCGCTTGCTCATCCGCGCGCACTCCGCACCACACCTCTCCCCTCGCTCCTCTCTCCGCTCTCGTCCCTCGCCCTCGCCCCATCGAGACCTCCCCGCACCGCATTCCCCCCTGAGAGGGTTTTTGAGTCGCATAGCGGATCGCTTCATGTTGACACGGCGCTCGTCCTATCTCGCACTATCTCCCCTGTTCCCACAGCTGCCCACACGTCTCGAGAACAGGGCTTTGAGTCGCATAGTGGAGAGTCGTTTCTTATTTTCTCTACACTCTTCCCGCCTCACCCCCGAGGCAGGGCTTGAGTCGCATAGCGGCGGGGCGGCTGCACAAGGAGCTGGCGGAGTGGCAGCGCAACCCGCCCCACGGATTTGTGTACCACCCCAGTGACAACCTGCAGAGGTGCGGTGCTGCATGGGGGGGAGGTTGGAAGGGAGGTAGGGGGGAGGGGGTTGGGATTAACACCCCTCAGAAGGGAGCTGGCGGAGTGGCAGCGCAACCCCCCGCATGGCTTCGTGTACCACCCCAGTGACAACCTGCAGAGGTGCGGTGCAGAGGGGTGGGGAGGGGGAAGGGTGGGTGCCGGCCAATGTGACAACCTGCAAAGGTGCGTGGTAAGGGGTGGGGTGGTGGTGGTGAGAAGGGGAATGCAATTAGAACGGAGACTGACCGAGTGGCAGCGCAAACCCCCCCTATATACCACCCGAGTGACAACCTGCAGAGGTGCGGTGCAGAGTGGTGGGGAGGTAGGTAAGGGAGGGGGTTGGGAGGGAGTGACAACCTGCAAGGGGGCCCCCTCGGCTTTCCTTCCCTCTGCTCGTTCTCACCACCCCTCTCCTCTCTCCTTCTCTCCCCTCTCCCCTCTTCGCTCTCCTCCCCCTCTCCCCCTCTCCCTTGTGGCGTGCGTACATACCGTGCATGTGGGGCAGATGGAGCATAGACGTGCACGGGGCAGCGGGCACGCTGTATGCAGGGGAGGTGTTTCAGCTGCAGGTCGACTTCCCCTCCAACTACCCACTCGAAGCCCCTCAGGTGCGCGTCTCCTCTCGCCGCCCTTAGCTGCCCCTCAGGTGCGCGTCTCCTCTCGCTGCCCTTAGCTGCCCCTCAGGTGCGCTTCTCCTCTCACCGGCCTTAGCGTGGTTTGAGACGTCTCAAAGCACGTGTTGCTGCAGGTCGACTTCCCCTCCAACTACCCCCTCGAGGCCCCTCAGGTGCTCCTCGCACTGGCCTTCCTTGCTTGCTGCATCCATTGCATTCTTCTCCCCTCCCGCACCCTCTCCTGCACCCTCAGCTTTATTCTCTCCCGCACTGCACCTGTCGTTGTTCCAGCATGCTCGCGCCTTGTCCCTTCTCCTCCTCGCTTCCACCTTCCCGAATCCCACCTCCACAATCTCCTATCTTAATCCAAGTCAACTTGAACCAACCCACACCAGCCCACTCCAACCCAACACAAATCAACTGAATTCTTCCCAATCCATGGCATCCCGACCCGCAGGTCATATTCTCGCGCAACCCACCAGTGCACCCACACATCTACAGCAACGGCCACATATGCCTTGGTAGGCCGCACGCATGTGCATTCCCATGTCTCATGTCTGACTGTGTTATCGCTTGGTATGTGCCAAACGCCTTGGTTTGGCACATACCCATTTAATCCTACAACCATGCATCACATACCTACACCATGCCTCATAGTCACCTGCTGGCCATGTGCCGTCATCCCACCTCACCCTGCCCACATGCCCCGCACCGCACCCCACCGCTGCATCCTGCAGACATCCTGTACGACTCGTGGTCGCCTGCCATGACTGTCAGCGCAGTGTGTCTCTCCATCCTCTCCATGCTCTCCAGCTGCAAGGAGAAGGTATGTTCACTGCAGAGTACCACACCTCCGCATGCCTCACCATGCCTCCGTGTGCCGCACCATGCCTCTCCATTCTCTCAATGCTCTCCAGCTGCAAGGAGAAGGTGTGCTTCCCTTCTCTCTACAGCAAGACAAGGTATGTTATGTGCAGTATGTGCCTCTGTGCCTCTCTGCCCCTCTGCCCCATCTGCCTCTCTGTCGTCTGCTCATCTCTCCCCCCCTCCCTCCATCCAGGTGAGACCGGCAGACAACGATTGGTACAGTCGCCCAAGAACACTTCTGGAAAGTCGTCTCTTGCTCACTGTCCCCTCTTCCCCCACACTCCCTCCACACCCCCCTTCCCTGCAGGTGAGGCCGGCAGACAATGATCGGTACGTGCAGCGCAGCGGCCAGTCCCCCAAGAACACGCGCTGGTGGTTTCACGACGACCAGGTGTAGGGTACAGTGAATTCCGTAGGAAAATGCTGGAAAGGGACAAACCAGTACTAGAACGTAGTATGTCGGTATACGATTTTAATGTACGGTAATGTATAGTTGTCGTGTGAGGCCGTGATGCTGGAATGGTTAGAAAAGCCGACGACAAGATTCGACAATCTTAGTGAGCTGACGGGTACGGTATTCATACATTCAGCTGGATTTATGACAAGCTGACGGTATTGTCCGCATGGAAGTTACAACAAAGCCAAACCATATTACGGTAATCTAAAGGGAGGGTGTGTCAATCTCCATCACCTGGACAAAAGAATTGGGGCTATGAACATTTGCTCTGCAAGTTGTTAATGCATCTCTATTATATGATTCTAAATCATTCAGCAACCCCGTCCTTTATTATATGTATATTTGTACAGTCCATTTCGCTATGCACAAAGCACATGCTTTTGGTTCAGAACGCTGCTGGATGCGGAAACTGCCATGTCGTAGTAATTTCTTGCGCTCTGATTGGTAAGAGTAGGAAATGCCCTTATCAAGCAATGCAACCTGTCTCCACTCAGATCGGTATCCGAGGAGTTACCAACCAGTTCGTCAGGAGGGAGCAGCCACGAGTTTTTACCAAACCGGAATTTCGCCACTACGAAAGCCCATCCGTTACCCCAACTGGTTGTCTCGCCAACCTGCCTCGCTCGCGTAGTCTCGGGTTACGAGGCAAGGGAGGGCGAGATGCTTCAGGCAGGCAGGGGGATCACAACGGCTAGGGTTTGGTGTCCTCACATTGGCCAACACTAGCAATTCGCAAAAGTGGAACGCGTGCGAAAGATAGCGAAGTGACGGAACGGGCGATAGATTTTGAAAATCTACGGTCGAGATTCACATGGTTCATGTTCCCCTCCTCAAATCCTTCTTTCCCGCCTGCGATAACGGACATTTTCGGGAACACATCGGACGCTTTCTGTTTCGATGCAGCCACTTTGTCGGCGATGGGGACACGTGAAGAATCTGGCAGACAGACGATTCTCTCTCATGAACCACACACACGTGACACGCTGGTACTTTCGAGCTACGGTTAGGATCGAAGTTAGACACAACCATTGTAAGACGATCAATCTAGAACCGTCAGATCTCAGTTGTTCGAAAACTGGAGGCGTTGGCAGTTTGGAGGGGGTGACTCAATCCCAGATCCCTCCTCTCATTCTGTCATTTCTCAGCCGTTGTTCACTCAATTTCTCTCCAACCAGGCTCGTTCTGCTCGTCTTCAGCCGAATACCTGAGAATCTGAGTTCAATTTTCATCGTCCTGCTAGCGAAGCTATTATATTTTGGAGTTTCGTTATTCTCCACTCTCTCCGTTCGTGAAGACAATCTTTGAAATTGGGATGATCGCAAGTAGACGGGATTCACCATCCCGTCGTCAATCTGCAACTCACCTATTTTTCGGTGAGTAATTCGTCGCGAATTTGTCATGCGAGCTGATTCTATATTTTATTTTTTCCCCTTCACAACCTTATCTGACCAACTTCTTCCTTGTTATACAGGTTCCCTTGGCGTTCATCCTCGATTTCTCTTCGATTGTCAACTGCTTTCACATATTCGCCAGGCTGCGACCAAGTCGTCGCCATTTTGTTATCCAACGAATCTTGGTAAGTGTTTCGCCGATTTCGTTTTTCACCAGTTCCAGTCCGTTTAGTCATGTTACTTTAGTAAATTCGTAGTCGACCTTGCAGCCAAATTCTTCCCAACGTGCATTTATTCCGTTAATTTATCCCCCACCATCTCGTGCTTCAATAACGTCGTGATTGGTTGTCATTTCGCTGTCTGCTCGCCTTTCAATGTGCAGTGCGGACAGCAGCAGTGATGGCAGGCGGTGCTGAGCGAACCGTTCGTGGCAGCAGCTGTGGCAGCACCGGTGGTCTCTGCATTTGCTCTGAATCCGCTCTGTGCCTGATCGTCAAAAGCTAAGTGCTCTCAACCCCTGCACCTTCCACATTCCATAGCGCATGCTCCTTCATACCATGCACCCCCTCGCAACTCGTTCATTTTAAAATTCATCCGTTGCTAGCAGCGCAGTGCACAGGGCACAGACCAGCCCCCACAGCCCTCAGGTGAAACCTCCATTATCCAGGTAAAGCCTACACGCCCCAGGTTAGACCCCCTTTTTCGTTCCCAGGTTAACCCCTTTTCCCCCTATGGTCTGTGCCCTGTGCTCGCTGCTGCTGCAGCAGCGGCTCCACACCCACAAGCCAGCGCACACGCCATGCATACCGCCTCATTTCCTCTCATTTCCCCTTCATCTGCTCATCACTGATGCTGGTCAGTCCCCTGCTTCAGTTTGTATCGTGTCCATCTGTCCGCTCACCCAGCGCACTGCGCCCACCTCTTATCTCCTCGTCTCTATGTGTCTTTTCCCTTCCCTCCCTCTCCCCCCACTCCCCCCCTTTTCCCTACTTCCCAGGGTTTGTCGCCGAGGCAGGGCGGCCAGCAGTGGGAGCATCGGCATGGGAAAGGGAGCAGCGAGTGCCACACCTGCCTCGAATCATCTCTGCAGCAACCTCGTCAGAAGCTAAGTGCTCTTCCTCCAAGGTCCTCACTCCTCCTGTCTGTTCAGCTCTGTCTCGCATGCTCATGCCGCCGTCTCTGCTCTGGCTGCAAGGGGACACGCCGAGGGAGTTAGTCAACCACCTCCCCAGGTAACGGGTGGTAGGTTCAGGTGGAGGTGGTGTCAGGTGCTCACAGCCCCAGGTGTGGTATGGTACCACGTGGTAGACCCCTTCGGCCGTTTCCCCCTTGCAGCCAGAGCTTTCGCCTTTCCTGGTCGTCTGCTGCTTATTTCTCTTCTGCATCTTGCTCCTTCCACCCTTCTTCCGTGCACTCACTTCGTCCCTATCTTGCCTCCCTTCCTGCAGGTTAGTTGGCGGCATGGGCAAGGGAGCAGCGAGTTCCACACTCACGCCATCTGCCTCGAACCACGTCTGCACCAACCTCGCCCAAAGCTAAGTGCTCTACCCTCAGGTTCTCACCTTCTCTCCTTCGATTTCCGTTCTGTCTGCACGCTCATGCCGCCGTCACCGCTCTCGCTGCAAGGGGATACGCCGAGGGAGTCAACCACCTCCCCAGGTAACAGGTGGTTGGTTCAGGTGCAGGTCGCCTCAGGTGCTCACAGCCCCAGGTTTGCTATGGTATGGTATGGTATCTCGTGGTAGACCCCTTTTTCGTGTCCCCCTTGCAGCGGAGCTCTCACCATCCACTATCGTCTTCCCTGGTCAAATGCTGCTTCCTTCCCTTCTGCATCTTGCTTCCTTGCACTCACTTCGTCCGTATCTTCCCTCCTCCTCCCTCCCTGCAGGTCACTTGGCAGCATGGGGAGTGGTGGCATGGGGAAGGAGGCAGGGGCAGCAGCAGAGGTTGCAAGTGGGATGCTGGGAGCAGCGAGCGCCACACTCACGCCACCTGCCTCGAATCGTCACTGCAGCAACCCATTCCGAAGCTAAGTGCTCCACCCTCCCTTTCCGTTCTGCGTGTCCTTACATCATGTTTTGTCTATCTTGCATTCTCATGCACCCACCGCTGCTCTTGCTGCAAGAGGACACCCCCAGGGAGTCAACCACCACCCCTGATAGGTAACAGGTGGTAGGTTCAGCCTAAGGTAGGTAGCAGGTGCAGGTCGCCTCATGTACTCACAGACCCAGGTGTGTTATGGTACCACGTGGTAGGTACCCTCGGTCTTGTCCCCCTTGCAGCAGAGTTTTCACCATCCACCATCATCTTCCCTGGTCGAATGCTGCTTGCTTCTCTTCTGCACCTTGCTTCCCTCCACTCACTCCGTCTGTACCTGCCCTCCTCCTCCCGCCCTGCAGGTCACTTGGCAGGATGGAGAGGGGAGGCAAAGTGAACTGAGAGGCATTGGAAGAAGCAGTCAACAGCGCAGAGACGGGCGACAGAGGGGACGGGGCAGCCGGTGGGGAGGAGAAAGGGCAGCAACAAGGCTTCAACTTTCCAACTAAGTATTCCTCCTCCTAGGTGTTGGCCTTTCGTGGCTTCTTTTGAATGTCATGCATTTTTCATGCCTTTGCCTCGGAAATCTCGCCTCTGATTGAGCCAAAGCTTCATGCCACAGACGCTTTTTTCTTAGGTAAACCCCCCAGGTACAGCAGGTATACTCTCAGGTCAATCCTTTCTAGGTGTGTAACCCCCCTTGTGTCTGTGGCTTGTATTTGAGGCTTCACCAGTTGGCCTTCCCTTCCCTCGCTTCACACTTCTGTTGCCTAGTCGATTTTCTGCTGCTGTGTGTGTGCCTTGCAGGTGGAGGGGAGGGGCGTGGGGGTCAACACCGCCACTCCCTCGCGCTCCTCCCCTTGTGGCCGTGCAGGTGGCAGTGGTGGGAGGAGGGGAGGGGGGCAGCACGTCGGCTGAGAAGAGATGGGCGAGTATCGGGATTGGGTCGGCCACACAAGGTGAGCCCACTTTTCCCTCCTTGCCAGAGACGGTTGCGCACTTTTCTTTTCTTGCTTCCTCCTTGCCTTCACGTTTCTGCCTGCTCTTCTCCCCACTCTCACTGCTGTCCCTTGCTCCCTGCCTCCCTCCCTCTCCCTTCTCCCTCACTGTAGCAAGGCGCCAAGGGGGCAGCAGGAGGGCAGGAGGAGGAAGTGCAGCAGAAGGGAGGGCAGGAGGAGGGAGGGCAGGAGTAGGGAGGGCAGGAGGAGGGAGGGCAGGAGGAGGGAGGGCAGGAGGAGGGAGGGCAGGAGGAGGGAGGGCAGGAGGAGGGAGGGCAGTAGGAGGGAGGGCAGTAGGAGGGAGGGCAGTAGGAGGGAGGGCAGTAGGAGGGAGGGCAGTAGGAGGGAGGGAAGGAGGAGGGAGGGCAGGAGGAGGGAGGGCAGTAGGAGGGAGGGCAGGAGGAGGGAGGGCAGTAGGAGGGAGGGCAGGAGGAGGGAGGGCAATAGGAGAGGAGAAGGGGCAGCAGCAGGGCTTCATCTTTGCTGCTAAGTATTCCTCCTCTTAGGTGTTGTCTTTCGTGCCTTCTCATGCATTTTTCATGCTTTCCCCTCTGAAATCTCACCTCTGGTTGAGCCCGCCTCACAGGCCACAGACCCCCCTACTCCTACAGCTGGTAACCCCTCAGGTACAGGTTTAGCCCTTGTAAAGCCTTACAGCCCCCTTCAGGTTAAGCCCTTCAGGTTATGCCCTTCAGGTTCACTAAGGGGTCTGCGGCTTGTGGATGTGCCTCCTCCAGTGGCGCCCACCTTTTCTCTTTTTGCAGTTTCTTTGCCTCGTCAATTCTTTTGAAGTCCCCGCACAGTACACTCACTGCTGCTGTGTGTGCTCTTTGCAGGTGGAGGGGGAGGGCGTGGGGGTCAACACCGCCACTCCTTCGCGCCCCTCCCCTTGTGGCCGTGCAGGTGGCAGTGGTGGGAGGGGAGGGGGGCACCACTCCACTCGGCTGGGATGGGATGGGAGAGTATTGAGATTGAGTCGACCGAACAAGGTGAGCCTCCTTTCTCGTCCCTGTCTAAGCTGATTTCGCTTCTCCTCTCGTGCTGCTACTTGGTATTTTTCCATGCTCCCTTATGTTCACTTGATTGTTTTCTTTTGTTCACTTGAGTGTTTCTGTACATGCCAACTCACCAGCTCCTCCTTTCCTTCCTCTCCTCTCCCCCCCTTCCCCTTTCCTGCCCGCTACCAGGCCAGCTGGCATCAAGAAGAGAAGATTGCAGCTGAGGAAGCAGAGTAGCAGGAAGCAGAGGAGCAGACCGACAGCAGCAGGGGCAGCCGCAGAAGCGGCCGCGGCAGCAGCAGTAGCAGCAGTGGGGGCTGGGGGGCTAGAGGGCGGGCTAGGCTAGGTGAGGTACGGTAAGAGGTGAGGTATGGTAACAGGTAAGGTATGTGAAAAGGTGAGGTATAGTTATCTGATTCCCTCCTCTCTCTTGCCCCCCTCTCTCCTGCAGGCTGAGGGTGGGAGCACTGGAGTAAGGGCTGTGGAGTGGAGTCCACCCTTCTCACTCACCTCCTCCTCTCCTCCCTTTTCCCTTCCCTCCCAGCAGCACCCTTCCAGGACCATAGTGGAGTCCCGCCCTCCTAAAATCCACCCGTCCCCTCCTCTCCCTCCTTCCCAGCAGACTGCATCATGGCGCTCTGCATGGCTCTGGTAGGTACAGGTAAGGAGGCATGGGGGTGAAGTGTGGGGTGGTTGGGTGGGTGGGGAGCGTGGGAGCAAGCTGGGAGCTCACTGCCTTTGGGGGGGCAGAACCTTCTAGGGTTGTGGCTTGTAGGTGAAGCGGGGTGGGTGGAAACTCCGCGGCACAGCACTCAGTGCTCAGGTTCCCAATCTGGCGTTCAAGGCCTAATGGACACCGTCAGAGCCGACCGGCCGGCGGCTCTGGTTCGCGTCAGCTCTAGCTATGTCAGGGTTGGGATTTGAGTCTTGGGCTGGAAGCGATTTTCCACTGCCACACCTCTTCCCACAAGGCACAGCCCTGGGGGTGCTGTTTCCTTGAGGAAGTGGGCTGTCTGCTGCTCCTACAGCTGGCCGGTGAGTGTGGGGACGGGCGGGGTGGGGGGAAAGGGGCCTGAAACCCCTTGGGTGGGTGAGTGGAAGGGAAAGGGGCTGAGTCCCCTTGGGTGGGTGAGAGCAAGTGAAAGGGGCTGAGTCCCCTTGGGTGGGTGAGAGCAAGTGAAAGGGGCTGGGTCCCCTTGGGTGGGTGAGTGCAAGTGAAAGGGGCTGAGTCCCCTTGGGTGGGTGAATGGAAGTGAAAGGGGCCGAGTCCCCTTTGGTGGGTGAGTGCAAGTGAACGGGGCCGAGGCCCCTTGGGTGGGTGAGTGCAAGTGTAAGGGGTTTAGTCCCCTTGGGTGGGTGAGTCGAAATGAAAGGGGCTGAGTCCCCTTGGGTGGGTGAGCATGATGGTTGGTTGGTGGCACATGATGAGCAGTATGGCACTGATGCCACCTGTTGCATGAGAGCATGATGCTCATGCTTGGTTGGTGGCACATGATCAGGGCTTCAGATCCGTTTTGGACTACTCTTAGTAATCAGGGTTCTAGGTATAGTCAACCGTGATGCGTACGGTAAAATTTTTGTTGCCCTGACAAATGCGGGGAAAAAAAACAGTTAGTCTGTTTGGGCAGGGTATTCTTAAAAACTTATGATTGCCGAAGCATTTAGGATCAATGGCTAGTATCCAGCTGATTCTATTGCGCAGTATATATGTTAGGTTGCAAGTTCAAATCTCGCTAATGATATCGTTATGCAGGGACTTATGAAGTGTTTCGTCTCGCTACGGAGCATTCAGTACCAGTACAGCTGGGATTGTACACTGTACTGTCAGAGAAATGTGTTCCTTATGCTGTTTTTAAAGGGTATTGAGAAACTTACACTTTCTGGCCTAGGGTAAAAAATCCACTACCCTGCCTGTGAAAGGGTAAGTGAAAAAAAGCGGCCGCCAGTCAGTGCAAAAAGGGTATTTTACCCTGATAACGAGAGACCTGCACATGATGAGCCGTATGACATTGATGGCACCTGTTGCATGAGAGCATGATTCTTATGCTTGGTTGGTGGCACATAATGAGCTGTATGGCATTGATGCCACCGGATGCATGAAAGTGTATTGTGGTGAGTGTGCTAAGGTGGGTGAGTGGGGGAGTGGGGTGGTTAGGTAGGAGGTGGTGGGTAGTGGTGGAGACTGGGTGGTGGAGGTGAGAGGTAGAGGGGGTTGGATGGTCAGGTGGGAAGTTGTTGTGAGGGTGGTGGATTGATGCGGAGGTGTGCAGATGGATGATGGATTGAGCAAATTTGAGAAAGCGCCAATGATGAAGCACACAAATCGCAGGGGAGGAGAATGGTGGAATAGAAAATGCAGGAGATTTGTGGAGAAGCAACTGGGTGGATGGATGACAGTGTGGTTGGGATGGTAGCTGCTCTGCCACCCACCTTCTGTCGTACAGATACTGCTTTCAGCGAGCTGACTGGCATTGCTGCTTGTTGTGGTGCTTGCTGGTGGTATTGTTGTGGTCAGGGGCATCGGCATCAGTTAGTAGAAAGCAGAGAATGCTGGGCAGGGATTAGAGCTCTCAGGTTTCTCAAGCAACCGTAAGAAGAGCTAGGGTCCATATAGAGCATCTTCTTTCACCACATAAATTACAGAATAATTTACAATGCGATGTCTTACCATGTATGAAGGTGACAGGTATCCTGGCTAATTAAGGTGGTGCATGCTGAATGGGTAGGTTGAATTTCCTATCAACCATAATTATAATTTTTAAACACACGAAGTGTTTTTCAAAATTACGTATTTCGAAAGCGCAGCTGCTTGTAACGCATGTTTTGCCATCGTCGAAGCGCGCTAAACGCCCTTCTCCAACTACAAATCGTGGGTTGGAGCTCATTTCCCTCCACCCACGTCTCTCGTTTTCCAACGGCTCATGCAACTCTCCCACCCCCCGCCCCAACACTGACGGGCATCATCGACGCTGCTTGAACGAGAAGATCGATAGCTTGTAGCATGATAGACATCAAGTAGCATGAGGAATCGCTAGTACAATGATTGATACGCAGTATAGTAACATGTACTAGCACTTCTGCTTCCTAGCTCGAGGTGCATGTTGTAATTTGCCAGTTGAAATGAGAACGATGCCCAGTTGAAATGAGAACGATGCCAAATGATAAGTAAGAGAAAGCAAGCTTTCTAAATCTGGTAATTATAGTATTTATTGAAAGTATACTCTCATATCTACAGTATGCCATCAGTCATGTTATGCACGTTATAATCCCTGAAACTTGCGCTCAACCAGCGGGCGGGCTATCACATGAGCGTCTGACAGGGACATGTGGCTGTTTCCCGCGCAAACTCTTTGAACTGCGAGCGTCCTGCGCTGCGGATGTTTCGTGACTTTGCTCACGAAACCTAGTCGCAATTCTCGCGAACCACCCTTCCCCAAGCGAAAGGCCAAATTGATCGGCTCACGAAACTCTCTGAGGCTGTGTGCCGACACTACGACGGCAAGTGTCTTTCCTTCGGAAAGATGGTTCCTGACTTCCGTCGCATCTCTCCCACGTCCATGTAAATCTCCCTTCCCCTACTATCACAGACCGATAGCTGTCTCGCAAGCGCAATCATAGTCTGTAAACTTTTTTGGCTACGCTACTAGACATTAAGAGAAGCTCGATTATAGCACTAGCAAACTTCTCTCGTCAAATCCTGATAGTTTACCGTAGCATTGATTCGGCCTCTTTGTCAAATACCAGTAAGAACTTACCGTTGACGGTAGTCGGAGACGGTTCCTAAGGCTTGGCGACGTTCGCAACGCCGTTCACTTGCACGTCGTGTTTCAGACTGAGACAAAAACGCCGTCTAGATTACACGTAGGCAGCGATAACGGTTTCTGCATTTAGGAGTAAAAATTTTGTTTCCTGAGTGTGACGATCGGGACGGCGATCCTTGATTACGATTATCTAGACAAGGGAAGCGGTTGAGGACAATCGGCGAATTTTGAAGGTGATTATAGAAACGAGGAATACTGACGGAACGAGACGGTGATTATTGAAACGAGGAGTACTGATGGAACGAGACGGCATTTTTTGACGGTGAAGATTGAAACGAGGAGTGCTGACGGCAACGATCGAGACGGCGATTTCTGACGGTGAAAATTGTGATGAGGTGCTCGTACGGCGACGATTGACGTCTTCTCATGTTGACAAGTGGGACCTTTGAGAGTTCTGTTACTGATCTTCTGCCAGTGACGATCTTCTGACCGTGACAATTGACGATTTCTGATGTTGACGAATGGGAGTCTTTGGACTTGACGATCATTGGGACGGAAGTTGCGGAGATGACTCATCGATGATCGAGGTTGAGGCGGCGAGATTTCGTATCGTACGCTTCTGATCGAGATTGAGACGGCGCCTCCTGATGAAGTTCTTCAACTTTTACGGTTGACGATCGAGGCAGTGAAGGCGAAGGCGAAGGCGAGCGCTCGAGCAGAGAAGCAGAGAAGCGGAAAAGCGAAGTTGATTGAGTGGTGACGATGGCGATCGCGGCGAGGACTTGGTACGGCGATGTTGGCGTCTTTTGATGGCGGCGATAAGACCAGGAGTTGGCGATTGGCGGCCGCTGACCCCGTGACGATCTTCTGACGGCGAGTTACGATCTTTTTCAGACGATCCAGTCGCCGTCGTATGGCGTTGATGCTGACGATCCAGTCGCTGTCGTATGGAGTTGATGCTGACGATCCAGTCGCCGTCGTATGGCGTTGATGCTGACGGTCCAGTCGCCGTCGCATGGCGTTGATGCTGACGATCCACTCGCCGTCGTATGGCGTTGATGCTGACGATCCAGTCGCCGTCGTATGGCGTTGATGCTGACGATCCAGTCGCCGTCGTATGGCGTTGATGCTGATGATCGCGACGGAGGGTTTCGAAGGTCGCGAGTTGGCGCTGACGCTGACGACGGCGCTGACGCTGACGACGGCGCTGACGCTGACGACGGCGCTGACGCTGACGATGGCGCTTGTTGGCGGGAAGGCGAAGGCCGAGGCGATTGGTGGAACATGATGAGCGCAGAAGCTGGAGGCGGAGGAGGAGGAGGAGGAGGAGGAGGAGGAGGAGGAGGCGGAGGAGGAGGCGGAGGCAGACGCGGAGGCGGAGGTGATGCATCATGTGCAGCTAAGTCCCTTCCTGCCCCCTTACTCGCTTTCCTTACTCACCCCTCGTATTGCTTTCTGTCTTTCGTTTATTTTCTTGTCGCTTTGCTTTCTCGGCGCATGCTCGAAATCAAAACGTCAATTCCACGTGGCGATGGTAGCACATGGCACCGGGGCGGCTTGAGCTCACACTAGAGTTGTAGGGGGCTAGAATAGAATCCATTCATACACATGCTCGCGTCTCTCTCTTACCCCAGTCCACCCTCGCATACTAGCTCGCTGCCCTAGTGCCTTGTGCTACCATTGCCTTTCGTGTGTTCAGCTTGTTAGTTGTTCTTCTGCATTTTTCGCTGAGGGAATTCTCGTTTTCATACTTGTTTCTGCCTTCATTCCAATGCTTGCTCCTACTGGACCAGATTCTTAATCTCCTTCCCCTCTGCCTTCTCTCCCACCCCCATTTCCTTGTCCCAGGGTCAAAGCGGAGGGAGGGCAGTGGGATGACGCTCGGCGTGCATCCTGCATGCCCTGCTGACCTCGCCACTCCCTCACGTGCCAAACGAGCTCGACTGGCGCTGCATTCTCCAGTGCCTCCTCCACTCTACACGCCATACGAGCTGCTGCTGGGAGTGCCGCCGATGGGAGTCCTCTGCTGCTGGGGGGATCACAATGGCAGGAGAGCGATCGGAGGCTGTGGTGCTTCAGTGGTGGTAACAGAAAGGTACAACAGCAACTGAGCATCTTGTGGTATGAACTCCGTGTCTCTGCTCCTGGCTTGCAATGCAAGATGCTGTTACGTTCTTTTGGTCCGATTCGCTTTCCCTTGTTTTTTCGAGTATACTTACTCCGTTTTTTTCGTCCACCTTATCTCATTTCAGGAGGCAAGCATGGGAGCAACTCTCAATGGAATACAAGCATTTGTGAGCCGTCTCGTTGTGATGAGTGCCCGCCGCGCCCCCTTCTCCTGCACCCATTTCCTTCCAATCTTGCCATTTTTTCTCTCCATCTTCCTGCTGCCATCATCGCGCCACGTTCACTCCTCCGCTTCCTTACACACTCTACTCGTCTTTCAACTTTTGCTGCCCTCGTCCCTTCTGCCGCCCTCTTCTCTTCTGGGAGCTGCCAAGGAGCAGAGGCAACGCAAGAGAAGAGAGGCAGCCGGGACTTCAGGTCAAGGCAATTCACCTGCGATGTGAGGCTCTCCGCTTGCTATTCCCTGTTATTTTGTCGCACAAGCGTTTGACCGAAGCCCTTGCTCCTCATGCTCCAACTTCGCTTGTTGAAATTGATCCTAAGCCCTGAACCCCAAACCCTTCGCTCTTCCTCATGCCCTTGTCGCCCTTTCCCATGCACTCATCGTTTTCCAGCAACAGCAGCGACAGCAGTAGTGGAGATGACTCCTCAGGAGGCCAGGGAGGGACTACAGGCTCGAGAGGGATGATGTCTAACTGTAAGTCTTGCTTGCAGTTTTTCGCTTTTGCTTGAGCATCTGTGCCACTTGAACTTGCTGCTGTTCGCTTCTTCCTCTTTCACCACCTTCGCATATGTACTTGCCCCTTTCCCCACCATAATAGTTTCCCACCTATGTTTCTCCTGCTCTTTCTTCTCTTGCTCTTGCTGATCTCTTCTTTCAATGGTCTTGCGCTTCGCCTTCAGGTGTGACGGACAGTAATGGAGAGAGCAACTACAAGTCTACGGTTGAGCGGAAGCGTCAACATGAGGTCACTCTGTTTCCAACCCGCTCTTTTGGGCACATCCTTTCTCTAGCCCCTGTTTTGGTGGTCTCATGCTTTCTCTAGCCCCTGACCTCAAACCTGACCTCAAACCTGACCTCAAACCTGACCTCAAACCTGACCTCAAACCTGACTTCAAACCTCACGTCAAACTTGAACTCTAACCTGACGTCAAACCTGACGTCAAACCTGACGTCAAACCTGACATCAAACCTGACCTCAAACCTGACCTCAAACCTGACCTCAAACCTGACCTCAAACCTGACCTCAAACCTGACCTCAAACCTGACGTCAAACCTGACATCAAACCAGACCTCAAACCTGACCTCAAACCTGACCTCAAACCTGACGTCAAACCTGACGTCAAACCTGACATCAATCCTGACCTCTAACCTGACGTCAAACCTGACGTCAAACCTGACGTCAAACCTGACCTCAAACCTGACCTCAAACCTGACCTCAAACCTTACGTCAAACCTGACCTCATACCTGACCTCAAACCTGACCTAAAACCTGACGTCAAACCTTACCTCAAACCTGACCTCAAACCTGACCTCAAACCTGATGTCAAACCTGACCTCAAACCTGACCTCAAACCTGACGTCAAACCTGACATCAAACCTGACATCAAACCTGACGTCAAACCTGACGACAAACCTGACCTCAAACCTGATGTCAAACCTGACTTCAAACCTGATGTCAAACCAGACCTCAAACCTGACCTCGAACCTGACCTCAATCCTGACCTCAAACCTGACGTCAAGCTTCACCTCAAACCTGACGTCAAACGTGACATCAAACCTGACCTCAAACCTGACCTAAAACCTGACCTTCAAACCTGACGTCAAACCTGACGTCAAACCTGACCTCAAACCTAACCTCAAACCTTACCTCAAACCTGACTTCAAACCTGACCTCAAACCTGACCTCAAACCTGACCTCAAATCTGACCTCAAACCTGACTTCAAACCTAACGTCAAACCTGACCTCAAACCTGACGTCAAACCTGACGTCAAACCTGACATCAAACCCGACGTCAAACCTGACGTCAAACCTGATGTCAAACCAGACCTCAAACCTGACTTCAAACCTGACCTCAAACCTGACCTCAAACCTGACGTCAAGCCTCACCTCAAACCTGACTTCAAACCTGACATCAAACCTGACCTCAAACCTGACTTCAAACCTGACCTCAAACCTGACCTCAAACCTGACATCAAACCTGACGTCAAACCTGACGTCAAACCTGACGCCAAACCTGACCTCAAACCTGACTTCAAACCTGACCTCAAACCTGACCTCAAACCTGACCTCAAACCTGACCTCAAACCTGACCTCAAACCTGACTTCAAACCTGACGTGAAACCTGACCTCAAACCTGACGTCAAACCTGACGTCAAACCTGACATCAAACCTGACGTCAAACCTGACGTCAAACCTGATGTCAAACCAGACCTCAAACCTGACCTCAAACCTGACCTCAAACCTGACCTCAAACCTGACCTCAAACCTGACGTCAATCCTCACCTCAAACCTGACGTCAAACCTGACATCAAACCTTACCTCAAACCTGACTTCAAACCTGACCTCAAACCTGACCTCAAACCTGACGTCCAACCTGACGTCAAACCTGACGTCAAACCTGACCTCAAACCTGACCTCAAACCTGACCTCAAACCTGACCTCAAACCTGACCTCAAACCTGACGTCAAACCTGACGTCAAACCTGACATCAAACCTGACATCAAACCTGACGTCAAACCTGATGTCAAACCTGACCTCAAACCTGACCTCAAACCTGACCTCAAACCTGACGTCAAACCTGACGTCAAACCTGACCTCAAACCTGATCTCAAACCTTACCTCAAACCTGACCGCAAACCTTACCTCAAACCGGACCTCAAACCTGACCTCAAACTTGACCTCAAACTTTGCGTCAAACCTGACCTCAAACCTGACGACAAACCTGATGTAAAACCTGGCGTCAACCCTGACTCAAACCTGACCTTTAACCTGACCTCAAACCTGACGTCAAAGATGACATCAGACCTGACCTCAAACCTGATGCCTGACGTCAAACCTGACGTCAAACCTGATGTCAAACCTGATGTCAAACCTGACCTCAAACCTGACATCAAACCTGACGTCAAACCTGACCTCAAACCTGACCTCAAACCTGACCTCAAACCTGACCTCAAACCTGACCTCAAACCTGACCTCAAACCTGACCTCAAACCTGACCTCAAACCTGACCTCAAACCTGATGTCAAGCCTCACCTTAAACCTGACGTCAAACCTGACATCAAACCTGACCTCAAACCTTACCTCAAACCTGACTTCAAACCTGACCTCAAACCTGACCTCAAACCTTACCTCAAACCTGACCGCAAACCTTACCTCAAACCTGACCTCAAACCTTACCTCAAACCTGACCTCAAACCTGATTCAAACCTGACCTCAAACCTACCCTCAAACCTGACCTCAAACCTGACGTCAAACCTGACGTCAAACCTGACGACGAACCTGACCTCAAACCTGACCTAAAACCTGACATCAAACCTGACGTCAAACCTGACGTCAAACCTGACGTCAGGGAATCTCAGATTCCCGCGGTGTCAGCACTGCCTGGTGGTGACTACGAGACAAATTTGCCCCGTGTTTTTTCACTCGCGGGGGGTTTCCTCGCGTTCCTGCCTTGTGTACCAAGAGGCAGTCAGCCGTGTGGTTTTGTAAAAACAGCCTTTTTTCTTAGAAAATACTGATGCTTCAAGGTTGTTTTTTTTAATGACACTGATTTTTCAGGTTTTTTTTTCTAAAAGATACTGTCAATCAGGGATTTCACGTAGAGGGACCCTGATCCCTCTACATCTCTCGAAGTGAATCTGAGGGCCTGCTGAGCGGGCGGTGCAGTGTATGAGCGTGTTGGTTTGGGTAGGTTCGAGTGGGATGAGGCAGAGTGGGTTGGTCGGTAGGTTTGTGTCAAATGTTGTAGCCTATAGTGAGGTTTGTCTTAGAGGGTACAGAAGTTAGGGTTTGTTATATGTACCCCAACCAACATCAATGGAACCATCCATTCCTCATTCTGACATGGTATCAGCTAGGTTAGGATCCTGTGGGATCCTGTACCTCCGTTCTCCGTTCGTACCTCCCGAGCCTGACCCTACCTCTCGTTCGTACCAGTTCCGTTGTTACCGCGCCTAGTACCGAGCCTAGCGCCCTTTCCCCCCGTCGCTTAGCGCCCTTTCTCCCCGTTACCTAGCGCCCTTTCCCCCCCCCCCCCCCCCCCCCCCCCTCCGTCGCGTCGCGCCCTTTCCCCTCGTCGCGTCGTGCCCGCCCGTTCCCCCCATCGCGTCGTGTCCGTCCGTTCCCCCCCGTCGCGTCGTGCCCGCCCGTTCCTCCCCGCCGCGTCGCCCTGTCCCGTCGCGTCGCCCTGCCCCGTCGCGTCGCCCTGCCCCGTCCCGTCGCCCTGTCCCGTCCCATCGCCCTGCCCCGTCGCGTCGCCCTGCCCCGTCGCGTCGCTCCCGCCCTTTCTCCCGTCCCGTCGCCCTGCCCTACGCCCTAGCCCGTCGCCCTACTCTAAGCCCTGGCCCGTCGCCCTACCCTAAGCCCTGCCCCGTCGCCCTTCCCTCCGCCCTGGCCCGTCGCCCTTCCCTACGCCCTGGCCCGTCGCCCTACCCTAAGCCCTGGCCCGTTGCCCTACCCTACGCCCTGGCCGGTTGCCCTACCCTACGCCCTGGCCCGTCGCCCTAGCCCGCTCTTCCGCTGCGACTGAGTCCTCTTCCTCCCGGTCGTTACTCGCCTGTTCGTTTGCGTTAGTTCTCACTATGGCGACTCCGCGAGTTCTTCGTTTCGACGGTGAAGGTAGACCGCTTGACTTTTCCGTCTGGCTTCTTCGCGCTCGCCGTCTGTTAGAGAGTCAGGTCCAGGGGGGCGAGACCCTCCGGTCGCACGCTACTGGTGACCTCCCCGAGACCCCCGAGCCTACAGCTTTAGGCCCTGCCCCTGACGACACTACTACGGCTCGCTTTGCCCGTCAGCGCGCTGACCGGACGGCTTGGACGTCGCGTGACGCTGCGGCCTGCATCGCACTCAGCAGCCTCCTCCCTGAGTCCGAGGAGGTCCACTTTACTCAGGTTCGCACCGCTGCTGCGTACCTCACTGCGATTAAGGCCCGCTACTCCACTCCTGCTACTGTCTCTCTTGGCCGTCTTTTCCTCCCGTTCCTGTTTCCTGATCTCGCCTCGTTTGAGCGCTCTGCTGACTTGATCGCTCACCTCCGCTCGCTCGACGCTAGTTACCGCGCTGCTTGCACTGAGGCACAGCTTGCACTGCTTCCTCCCCCCATGGCGATTACTGTCTATTTCATCGCCACTAGCCTCTCTGACCGCCTTGCCTCCGTTCGTGACGCGCTTCTGCTGAAGCACCCTAGTGAGCTGACTATCGAGGTCCTTGAGTCTGCACTCAAGGACGTCGAGAGCAACCTTCGTTCGGTAGCTGTCGCCTCTGGTACTGTGTCCCCCCCACTCTTCCACGGGTGCACAGTCCCGCAGTTACCCACCTTCACTGCCTCTCTTGCCACTGCCGCTACTGACGCGACTGCGGCTGCTGTTACGACTGCGTCGCGGTCCCGCGGCAGGGGGGGCAAGAAAGGTGGTTCTGGTGGAGGTGGAGGCGGAGGTAGCGGAGGTAGTGAGGGTGCTGTTGCGACTAGCGGTGGTGGGAGTGCAGCGTCTGGAGAGACCCCTCGTGCGGCGGCTGGTGACTCCACTGCACCTGCTGGTGGCGGCGACCCCCGAGCTCGTCAGTCGCCTCCCGTACTGCCGGCCCCGCTAGGTGGAGCAGCGGCGTGGTACAAGGCTCAGCGGCAGCAGCACCTTCAGCGGCAGCAGCAGCCCCTTTCTTCCCAGCAGCCTCAGCAGCAGCAGCGTCAGCAGCTAGCTCCGGGGTCGGGGCTGCGTCAGCCCCAGCGCGGTACTGCTTCCCCTCCCTGCCCCTACCAAGTTCAGACAGGTCCTCGTCGGGGCCACCCTTGTGGCCGCTTTCACCCCCCTGGTCAGTGCTTTGCTCAGCTTACTGACACGGTCCGGTTGGCCTACGGGGTTGGCGGTCCTGCTCCTAACTGGCTTCCGTCCAGCGCTACGGCTCCGCTCTGTGGGGCATGTCTGCTGAGCAGTTAGTTGATCTGATTAGTGCTCCTCATGCTATGTATGCTGTTGTTGACTCTAGTGTTTCTGAATCTGTTTACTCTGGTGTTGTTAGCTTAGGTGCTAGTCTTGCTCAGCTGCCTGTTGCTAGTGTAGGTTCTTGTGTAGACTTTAGACCAGCGTCTACCTCAGAGGACGCTTCGCTGTCGTTCACGCTGGACTCTGGAGCCTCACACTGCTTCTTCCGCGACAGCACGACACTTACACCACTTCCTGCGCCTGTTTCTATGGCGTTGGCTGATCCCACTACGGGACCAGTCACTGCACGTCACACTACCACTTTACCGTGTCCTGCTGCTCCCTCCGGGTCTCTCACTGGGTTTCACGTTCCCTCGTTCTCCCGGAACTTGGTGGGCGTGCGACCCCTTGTGAGTCAGCACGTGGGTGTGTGGTTTGAGCCTTCTGGAGAGACTGCGGTGTGTGTTGACGGAGACTTTTACCAGCCTCTTGCTACCTTTACTGCTGAGCCGGGCTCGGGTCTCTACACTCTTCACACTGGCCCGCGTGCGCCGCAGCAGCAGCCGCAGCAGCAGCAGCAGCCGCAGCCGCAGCAGCAGCAGCAGCAGCAGCAGCACCAGCAGCACCAGCGGCTGCACCAGCAGCCCCCCCTACTGCCACTGCCCCCGGTCCCCCCCCCCGTTCGGGTCCCCGCGTCTCACCAGGTTGCTTCGTCCCCCCAGGTGTCTGTGTCGTGTCAGGTTCCTACGTCTGTTCCAGTCGCTGCGTCGTGCTCCTGCCGGTCGCTTGCCCACCCCACCGTTCTGTGGCACCACCGGATGGGGCACCCGTCCCTTCCTCGTCTGCGCGCTATGTCTAGTCAGCGTCTTGTCCTAGACCTCCCACGTGTCTTGCCGTCGCTGCCGCCTTCGCTTGCGCCGCCGTGTGGTCCCTGCGTCGAGGGTCGGCTGCGCGCCACCCCTCACTCCTCCTCCCTACGTCCGGCCACCGAGCCTTTTGAGACGCTTCACTTGGACGTCTGGGGCCCCGCCCCTCGTCTAGGCCCTGAGCGTGAGCGTTACTTTCTGGTGGTCGTTGACGACTTCTCCCGCTACACCACAGTGTTCCCTCTGGCGAAGAAGTCTGAGGTGACTTCTACGCTGATAAGGTGGTTGCTCACCACCGCGGACACTCGTGGTCGTCGTGTCAGCTGTCTCCACTCCGACCGTGGGGGTGAGTTTCGCTCCGGCATTCTCGCTGGATTCTGTCGCGAGCAGGGCATTCGTTAGTCCTGGACGCTTCCAGAGTCCCCACAGCAGAATGGGGTTGCTGAGCGCCGCATAGGCCTGGTCATGGAGATCGCCCGCACCTCCCTGACTCACGCCTGTGCCCCCCATTTTCTGTGGCCCTACGCGGTCAGGTACGCCGCGCACCAGCTGAACCTCTGGCCACGTGTCTCTCGACCAGAGGTTTCACCGACCAGTCTTTGGACAGGGTCCCCTGGTGTTGCGTCGCGGTTTCGCGTCTGGGGGTGCTTGGCTCTTGTCCGCGACACCTCCGCAGACAAGCTCTCGCCTCGTGACGTCCCCTGTGTCTTCCTTGGTTTTCCTGAGGACTCCTCTGACTTCACCTTTTACCACCCTCCCTCTCACCGGTTCTTTGACTCCCGTGACGTCCGTTTCGAGGAGTCCACTCCGTACTACGTCAGGTACCCCAGTCGGGGTCTCCTGGTTCCTCCTCCCCCCCTCTTCCTGACTGCAGCCCCCCCTCCTCCCCCGGTACAGCCTCCCCCCCCTGGTCCAGCCCCGTCAGGTGTGTCCCAGGCTACCCCTCCTCCTTCGGTAGCCCCTCCGGTACAGCCTCCCTCCCCACAATCCTCCTCGCAGCGTGCCGCTGGTGCTAGCGCTCGAGAGGTTGGTGCTGCGCCTGTTCCTGTACCGGTTTCTGGTTCTGGGGGTGCTGGAGTTGGAGCTGGAGTTGGAGCTGAAGTTGGCACTGGAGTTTCTGGTTCTGGGGGTGCTGGAATTGGAGCTGGAGTTGGAGCTGGAGTTTCTAGTTCTGGAGTTGGAGCTGTCCCGATGGGTGCAGAGGACTCTTGTCGTCCGGGAGCTGGTACTGGTCGCGCGGCCACTGGGGGTGCTGCGTCTGGGGGTGAGGGTGCGCCTCCTTCGGGTTCAGGTGAGCCTGGGTCTGGAGCTGGTATTAGTGCTGCCTCTGGGGGTGGTGCGCCTAGTTCTTCGGGGGTGGACTCTGGAGCTGCCGCTGCTTCGGACACTACTCCACCCCCCCACCCCTACCCGACTAGGCACCAGGCTCGTGTTCGCCGTGCCCGTGACGAGCAGCTGGCGTTGGAGAGAGAGGAGAGGGAGTTACAGCGGTTGGAGGAGCAGCAGCAGCAGCTGGACCCGCAGGAGCAGCAGTCCCAGCAGCAGCCGCGTCCGCAGTAGTATCAGCCACTTCCTCCTCCTCTCTCGGGTCTTCGGACCCTTGGTCTCCCCTCCCCTTCTCCTCCCTCCTCCGCCTCTCCTCCTGTCTACGGTCCCACGTTTCCTCCTCCTGACTCCTCACCCGCTGTTTTCCCCAGTTCTCCGCCTTTGTCCTCTCCTCCTCCGTCTCGTTCTTGGGCTACTCGTCGCTCCCCTCGTGCTCGTCCCTCGTCTCCTGTTCCTTTCACTGACCTTCGTACTGCCTTCCTTCTTTCTAGTCCACCTCGTCCGTCTCAGTCTGTGCTTCCATCTCCTCCCTAGTCGGCCCTCACTGTGTCGCTCCCTACTCCTGTTACTGACTACTACCGCACGTACCGTCCTGTTCTCTCTCGTGTTCTCGCCTCTCTTGTTACTCACCCTCGTGCTTCTGTGTCCTCTGTGTCCGCTCTTACTGCCGCAGTTACTGACTTTGCCTCTACCCGCCGCCTTGACTACGCCACCACGCTTGTGGCTGCTCCTCCTATCAGTCCTTTGGCCGTCGGGGGTGTGTCTGCCCTTGGCTGTGACGCCCTAGAGGACAGGCAGTTTGAGCTAGAGTTCCTGGCGACCGCTTCCCCTCATCTCTGTGCCATGCTTCTCGCCCCTGAGGGTGACCCCGACGCCCTTGACATTCCGACTCCTCGCACTTACGCTGAGGCAGTGTCAGGGCCTTGGGCCTCTCAGTGGAGAGCTGCCATGGACGCAGAGATGGCCTCCTACAGATCCACAGGCACCTACGTCGATGAGGTTCCCCCCCCTGGGGCGAACGTAGTCGACGGCATGTGGATCTACAGGGTGAAGCGGCCACCGGGATCTCCTCCGGTCTTCAAGGCGCGCTACGTGGCTAGAGGTTTCAGTCAGCGCGAGGGAGTTGACTTCTTTCAGACCTTCGCACCTACCCCGAAGATGACCACTCTTCGGGTGTTACTACACGTAGCAGCACAGAGAGACTACGAGTTACACTCTCTCGACTTCTCCACTGCTTTCCTTCAGGGCAGCCTAAACGAGGAGGTCTGGTTGCGTCGTCCCTCGGCCTTCACTGGCACTTTCCCTCCTGGGACCCAGTGGAGGCTGAGGCGACCTGTTTACGGTCTTCGCCAGGCCCCTCGTGAGTGGCACGACACTCTGCGTTCTACCCTCTCTGACCTTGGGTTCCAGCCGTCTTCTGCCGACCCGTCGCTATTCGTTCGTCGTGGCTCCACACCGTTCTTTGTTCTGGTCTACGTCGACGACCTCGTTTTCGCCACTTCGGACAGGGTTGCTTTGGCAGACGTGAAGTCCGAACTGCAGAAGAGACACACGTGCACTGATCTCGGTGAGCTGCGACACTACCTTGGCCTGCAGATCACCGGGGACAGAGCCGCTCGCACCATTACACTCTCACAGTCACACATGGTGCAGCAGGTCCTTCAGCGGTTCGGGCTTCAGCACTCCACTGTACAGCGCACACCTCTCGCTGTTGACCACAGACTCACTGGTCCCTTTCCTGACGAGTCGTTTGAGCCTAGTGGTCCCTACGCAGAGCTTGTGGGTTGCCTCATGTACCTGATGACTTGTACTCGCCCGGACCTCGCCTTCCCTCTCAGCATCCTTGCGCGCTTTGTTGCGCCAGGGAGACACCGTCCTGTTCACTGGACGGCAGCTGTGAGGGTGGCGAAGTACCTAGCGACTACATCAGGCGTGGGGTTAGTTCTTGGAGGGCAGCAGTCTGTCGTACTCACTGGTCACTGTGACTCCTCTTACGCTGACGACGCTGAGACTCGCAGGTCAACTCAGGGGTACTGTTTCAGTCTGGGTTCTGGAGCTGTTTCCTGGCGTTCCACGCGCTCCTCTTCTGTCTCGACCTCTACAGCTGAGGCTGAGATTTACGCTGGTGCCATGGCGGCACAGGAGTTGCGGTGGTTGACCTTCTTGCTCGCCGACCTTGGTGAGCGGCCGAGCTCTGCACCGACCTTGTTTACTGACAATAAGGCGTCGATCCTCCTCTGTCGTGAGCCGCGACTGGAGAGCAGAGTGAAGCACATTCACGTCAGGTACTTTCTTCTGCGAGAGTTGCAGAGGCGTGGACAGGCTCGCTTCGAGTTTGTGGAGTCCGAGGTCAACACTGCAGACATCTTCACCAAGGCGCTTCCGCCTTGTGACCACCAGAGGTGTTGTGTGCAGTTAGGCCTTGTTGACACAGGTTCTAGTCATGTGTAGGCTTGAGTTTATTGGCTGCTTCGTCTGTACTCTTGCTATATATACTTGTGATCTCTTGGACTGGCCTTGTGGCCACTGTTGCTTGTGCTCAGAGTGTGTGGTGACGTTGTGATCCACCCTGAGCTTTGTTTTCTTTTGGACTAGTCTTGTGACCGTACTTTTTTTGATTTTGCTAGACACCCCTCACTTAGGCTATGGGGGTGTGTCAAATGTTGTAGCCTATACTGAGGTTTGTCTTAGGGGGTACAGAAGTTAGGGTTTGTTATATGTACCCCAACCAACATCAATAGAACCATCCATTCTTCATTCTGACAGTTTGGGTGGGATGAGGCAGAATTGGGTAGGCAGAATTGGGTAGAGTTGGATGGGGCAAAGTGAGTTCGTTTTTGTAGGGTGGAATGAGGCAGGGCGGGTTGTGTAGTGTAGGATGGGATCAGGTACAGTTGGTTGGTTACTGTAGGGTGGAATAAGGCTGGGTGGGTTTGGTAGTTGTGGTATGATGAGCCAGAGTTTGTTGGTTCATTATACTTGTGAAGGGACGAGGAAGAGTGTTAGGGCGGGAATGAGCAACACCGTTGAAATGATGATTTGCTCAAATGCATAGGATTTAGAGTATATATTGGCTTCAAATGTACTCGATGCTAACTGTTTCGCCACGTAAGGTTGTCATGCAAGTAGTTCCTACATCACGCGCTTGAAATCTCACAACCAGGAAAGTTGTGAATGTGGAAAGGAGTGCAATCATTTCGATAGCCCATATTGTAGTCTATATTTTATCCAAGCTACCCGTGATCCATGCCTAATTAAAATCCATTATAGAGGGTGTGATGATTCTCATTTTCACGATTTTCCAGTTCATAACGAAAATGTGCCAGTTTCACCCACTTTCCCGCATCACTTTGCCAGAGTGTCAGGTTTGCCTCGGCATCGCCGAACCCCCTGCTTTCCCTCACCGCTCTCACTCATCTCACCTCCGGAACCCTCCAAGCCGACGGCTCGGTTCGGGTGTGTCGATACTTTGATGGCTTGGCAGGCAGGTGGCTGAGCCTGGAGGTGATTTCAATATCCGCCGAGCCTCGCGTCACGGTGAAGCTCTCAAAAGTGTTGCATGCAATAGCGCGTATCCCTTGTCGCTACTTTTTCACGGCTGTTTCAGGTCAGTCCAAATCGCTCGTTGTGCTGTGAGTCTACCATTGCAGTGCGTTGTTCTGTTAGCCATTCCTCTTGCTGTAGTCCTCTCGTAGCAAGCAGCGTGTCCTACGGCGCTACTACCAGCCTTACGGTCACCGTTACGACCAGCGTCAGTAGCAGCGCTAGGATCATAATTCGATATCCGTCCGCACCCGACGTCAGTAGCGGTGCTAACTCGTATCTTTCGCAAATGGCCTCTCGACGTGAGCAGGAGGCAGCCGCGGCTGTCCTCGTACAAGCAGAATCGTTACTAGTACAATCCCGTGCAGACAACGCACTCGCGCTACTCGTGAAGCTCGAGCGGACGACACCTGGCGCCAAGGGATTGGCTGAGCTGCTCGCCGTGGCTCAGGTTCTCGCCGCTGTCGGCTACACGCCGGAGTGTCCGAGGTGTCGCCGTCCCATTGGTCCGCTTCCCAAGGATTACGTGGATTGGTTCGGGGTGCTCCAGGTATGCGCGTTCGCTCGTCGGTTACATTCGTCACATACGATCGCGGATTGCGTTCGTCGATTTCGCTCGTCGATTTTGCTCGTCGATTTCGCCCGTCAATTTCGCCCGTCGACTTCGCCCGTCGATTTCGCTCGTCGATATCGCTCGTTGATTTCGCTCGGCGGTTACATCCGTCGAAGCACGCCATTAGGCTCGGGATCTTGACCGCACGAGGGTGCTTACGAGCGCTGCTCGCATTTCGAGACGCCTTAAGAACAGCGTTTGCTTTGCATTTCTCCCCTGCACCTCCTTGGGCCTTCCTGAACCTCTTTGGCATGGTCGCTGCTCGCGTTATATGTCCCTCAGGTGGATGCGCGGACGGACGAAGCCGGAATTAAGAAGCGGTACCGACAGCTAGGTGCGTTCCCCGCAGCCTGCTCGCACCACTCGCACGCCGGGCCTCACTGTTACTGCATTCTAGGGACTGTGTGAGTGAGGCTGAGGCGGAATCAAGAAGCGGTACCGACAACTAGGTGCGCTCCCCGCAGCCCACTCGCACTGGCTCGCACGTTGGGCCTCACTGTGGCTGCGCTTTCTTCTGTTGCTGCGCTCCAGGGACTGTGAGTGCGGGTGAGGCTCTGACATACCAAGGAGGAATCAATACTGGAACCGTAGTTCTGTAGGAATGTCTGATGAGAACCGTGGGTCTGATCGTTGATTCCCCTCCTGACTCCCGGTCTACCCTCACCTCTTTTCTCCTCCTCTGCCCTCCCTTTCAGCGCTTCTGCTGCATCCGGATAAGAACAGGTCGCAGAAGGCGGAAGCAGCGTTCCGTTATGTCAAGGAGGTGAGTCTTCTAACGAGAATCTTACAACGAGACTTTGCACCTCCTCTGTGGCCGCCTCCTCAGCGCATTTCTCTCCTCCTTCCTCTCACCCTCCCCCTACCCTGTTCTCTCTTCCCACCCCTTTTCCTCCAAAACTACTTTTCCCTACCCTCCCACTACTTTTCCCTACCCACTCCTCCACTTTCCCTGCTGTTACCTCGCCACCCACCATGGCCCCTCCCTCACCCGCTCCCAGCAACGAGCAAGCAGTGTTCGATCTCCTATTTACCTGCCTCGCCCCTCCCGTTTCCTCCACTCCCCTTACCTCCCCTTCCTCTCCCGCTCCTGTCCCCCACCTCCTTCCCCCCCCAGGCGCACACAGCACTGACAGAGAGCAACAAGCGAGCCGTATTTGATACCCTGCGTACCCGCCTCCCCCCCTGCCCCTGCTCTGCACCCGCGGGAGGAAGACCCATGGGGGTGCAGAGGGGTGCAGGAGGGTTCAGAGCGTCTCAGGGGTACGCCTCGTACCTCTCGCCGACGGGTAGTTTCCGTAACGTACCCAATCGGAGCAGTAGCTACTCGTCTTTTGCCCGGAATTCCGTGCCGGGAACTTCCCCAATGCACTCTTTTTCGGCTGCCCGGGGCAGTGGAGGGCAGCAGCAGTATCAGCAGCAGCAGCAGCAGCAGCAGCAGCATCAGTACCAGCAGCAGCAGCAGTATCAGCAGCAGCAAGGGGGGCGTGGCAGTGCTCCGAACCTTCACCAGCAAGCTGCTTCAGGGTACGTGCCATGTGCCTGGATGAATAAGCTTCTAACCTTATTGTGGTTGAAATTCTTGGTGCTGGTTGGGTGTGAAATAGGGTTTGGACGGATGCGGTTGCTGGCTTTACCTTCGTTGCTGGGAAAAGAGGGGGGAGGTGAAGGGGAGGGAGTGGGAGGAGAGTAAGCGGAGAGAGGGAGGGAGAGAGGGGAGGAAAAGAAGGGGAGAGGGGAGGAGAAGACAAAGCAGGTTCTACTCTGCCTCATGACTTCGCCCCGTCCTTCTCTCTTCCCCCTGTTCCTTCCCCCCCAAACACTTGCTGTCACCCTTCCTCTCAGGGCGAGTTGGGCGGGCAACGAGGCGGGGCGGTTGCAGGAGCTGAGGGAGCAAGCCAAGGCGCGGGTGGTGTCTTTGGAGAGGGAGTGGGAGGAGAAGAAGGAGCAGTGGCTTCGAGACTTTGAACAGGCTAAAGTGCAGCAGCAGGCACAGGCGGAGCAGGAGGCACAGCAGGAGAAGGAGGAGGGGAGAAAACAGGAGGAGCGGCACCAGGCGCAAGAGCAGCAGGCGGAGGGGGAGGGGGAAGGGGAGGGGGAGCAAGAGGACGGAAAAGGGACGGATGTAGCTAAGGGAAGGCATGGGGATGTGAAGAGTGAGGCGGGTGTGAGTGAGGGGAGTGTGAGTGAGGGGGGTGTGAGTGATGCTGCAGCTGCGCCTGCCTCTCAGCATGCCACATGTGGGGAGCCATCCAGTGACCAGACAGGTTCCACTGATGAGAATCCGGAACATGTGGCCGACTCGATATGGGAGCAGCTGGCAGATCTTGTGGATGATGCTGACGTGGAAGGTGAGAGCCAAGGCAGGAGGGAGGACAGCAGTTGGAGTGGCAGCAGGGGAACACAGGAGGACAAGGATGCACAAGCAGAGGAACGGAAAGTGGGCAGGAAGAAGCAAGCAGAGCAAACGACAGAGCAAACGGCAGAGCAAACGGCAGAGCAAACGGCAGAGAAAACGGCAGAGAAAACGACAGAAAAAAGGGCAGAGGAGCAGGGTGATGAAACAGTAGAGGTAAACCTCTCCTCTCGCAACACACATGGCCAGGGGAAGGGCGGCAGACTCGTGGAAAGGGAGGGTGACACGGAGGGGGGTCGAGCAGCAGATGCTGGGATGGAGCGAGCTGGCAGCATGATGAGCAGTGCAAGCAGTGACTCTTACGGAAATGGCTCAGCTGATACTGCAACCCTTGCTGCTGCACCCCTCACTGGTGCAACCCTTGCTGCTGCACGCGCATACCCCAGTAGTAGTGCTTCTGGGTCCACGGGGGACCAGCCCACTTCTTTCCGCGCCACCAAATCAGGCAGAGCTGCTGCTGACGCCATGGCAGCAGCTGCTGCTGCCACGGAAGCTGCCCGAAAGGTTCTCGAGCGGTCCCGGTCAGTGCTGAGGAAGGGCTCTGTGCGGCCTGAGGGAGACCGTGGCCGAGCAGAGGAAGCAGGCAAGGCAAGCAGTGGAGGCGAGGTGGGCGGCGGAGAGGCGGGCGGCATAGGTGCGGCAGGTGGTGCAGGCGAGAAGGCTAGTGAAGGTGAGGTTGGCAGAGTGGCAGCAAGCTCGGCGCCTTGCAGTGCAGAGGGCTCCGGTGTTGCGTCAAGTTCTTTTGAAGCTCAACCTTCCAAGGCGGATAGAGGGCCTGCTGCTGATGATGCTCCTTGCTGTGGAGAGATTTCAAGCCCTGCAGCTGAAGAGACGACTGCAGCGGATGCAGCAACAACAGCAACAGCAGCAGCAGCAGCAGTAGCAGTGGCGTGCGTAGGCGATAAAGCAGACTCAGTGGAGGGCGGTAAGCCACGAGAAGCTGATTTGGTGAGCCAAGGGAGGAGCTCCAATCACCCCATGCAGGCAAGCTCAGGTGGTAGCAGTGGTGGTGGCAGTGATTGTAGTAGTGGTGGTGGCCTTTCCTCCTGCAGCAATCCAGTCACCCCCGTGCCTGTGCCTTCATCGAACCACCTCTCTTCCTCCGGTGCTGCTGCAAGTGCTCCGGTCTCTTCAGAAAGTTGTTCAGCCTCTGGGCTGGCCACAGTGAGAGGCAGTCCAGGTGCAGATTCCCTGATCAGCAGCACGAGCAGCAGTAGAGCGACTAGCATTAGAATTCCAAGTCACAGCAGCGTGGGTGGCACGTGGGTTGCACCTTGCAGCAGTGGCAGCAGGAGCAGCAGGAGCAGCATTGGGGGCGGCAAGGAGGGCAAGGAGGGCAGTGGGGATGTGTTGGAAACTCTGCAGAGGCTTAGACATGACACACAAGCTGTTGCTGCCTCACTGGATAACCTCAGGCGCCGGCTCTCTGCCCGCCCTGCTGTTGTCTTCCCTGGTGCTGTCTTCCCTGGCACTGCAGCTGGGTCTGTGCCAGGAGTAACTGGTTCGTCACCAGTGCAAGTTCCTGCGTCCTAGGTGGTGTAGCGAGGGGTGTGGCGAGCTGTGTGGTTTGATTATGGTGCATTGCCTCGTTGGTGCGGTAGAGAGTTTTGGCGATGAGAATTCACACCGGACTGAGTTTTGCCGATCCGACGAAGTTTTTTGCTACCAGTTCCATAGGGAGCTTCTTTAATGGTTAAGCCGCACACACGATAAGCGTGCTCATTCTTTATTGATTCTATGGCAATGTTCTTACCAGTGACATTGAGCTAGTACACCAGGTAAGCACCTAGCATGGAATGCTTATACAGGTGAAGCGAACTACACCTAGTCCGCGGTATTTTAACCGGCGCTATCTTAACCACGCGAGGGTACTTCTCCTTTATCAAACTTATTTAGTCGGGTTGTTTCAAACTTTACGAGGGTAGAATCTAGCATTCCCTTCGCGAGATGACAGCAGAAAAAGCTCAGTGAATGCCGAGTGTGACAAATGTCAATCCGTCTATCTTGGAGCACTAAGTGTGAGTTCCTTAGACGGAAGTGCTTTCGTCTGCAGAATCGTAGCCTCGATGACTCTGGGTGCTAGTAACATTACCCTGAAACGAACAAAGAGGGTTTGAAAGAACAAAGTTCACCTGGTTAAAATACCGCGGACTAGGTGTACACAGCTTTGCAAAAACAGTCCAATATGCTTCTAACGGAGTGGATTTTGTAGAGGGAAGATCTCTGTGACAACACGTAACGAGTTCGAGGCGGGATTCAATTTCACATTTCCAGTGGCGGGATCTGTGACACAGGCAAGATCGTCTGGGCTGACAGGTCTAAGTTCGAGGGCTGGCAGTGCCAGTGGGAACAGAATCACACGCTTTAACACCTAGCCCGCGCCAATTTCACACCTCGCGAAACCCATTTGAGCCGTTTTTGGCTTTAGGGATCAGACAACCAAGGAACTGGAGACTATCCGTGGCATAGTAAAGTGTCGATGTTGTGAAAGTGTGACTTTGTGACCGCAACGTAAAGACTGTATCTTCCGCTGCGACCATGCTTTTTGTTTTCCCGCTGACTCTTGTGCGGAGTCTGAATCGTTAATTCCTTAAAACCAAACTGTTTGAGACCGCCCAAAATCTCCGGGCAAACGAGGAGCGAATACATAGAGGTTTGAAATTGGAGGGTGTAAGAATACACCCTCATTCTCAGTCTTTTCACCGGCGGAAGCAGTGGCTACAGTGTTTGGACGTAGCGGGCTGGTGAGATAACTCTGTTGCGGGCCAAGTCGCACGAGGCGACGAAACCAGACTTGGGCCGTAAAATTCCGTTAACGCTGAATAACTGTCCTAATCGTTTAGAAAACAGCATTACCATTTTAGAACGTATCGAACCTTGACTAAACGCCCTGGGTCAATCTGTCAGTATAACGCATGTGATAGGACCTTCTTTGGTCCACTGCGGCTACACTAAGCGTCACGGTCAGTATAACATATGCCAGTCTAACGAGAATAAGGGTGTACCGCGGACCATTTGTACACCCTGTTTCTCGACCCTCTCACCTTGCGCGATTCGCTGCTACAGTGCGGTCAGGTGCCATAAACCGTATGGCTGAAACCTGCGGGCAAAGCCGCACCAGCTGACGGAGTGGTACTGGGGGCAAAAATTTTCTTTATCGCTGTATACCCTTTACAACCGCTTTGAAACGCTTGGTTAATGTTCTTTACCATGCAGCATCCTAGCTAACCGCTTTCTTGTGAATGTGCTTGTACCGTCGGTGATAAGACCATTTCAAACGTGGTGACGTTCTACAACCAGTGCATGTTCTGCAACCAGATGCTCTGCTATCGCGAAACAGGGTGTACCTGGCAGAATCTGATTGTTCTCCACCGCCTGAGGACCTGTGGGCATGGCGTCGGGAGGTTGAGTCAAGAACCATCTCCCCTCTCTCAGGGCGTATTTCTAGCTTCGGCTCATCCTGCCTTCATGTCGTCCGAAATTGTGGGATCCAATCGAAAAAAATAAATCTCAAACCGCGGGATTTCCGATTGGCTTCCACAAATTTCGGATGACATAAATAACGGACGACCCGAAGCCAGAAATACGCCCTCAGCCTCCAGCAAGATGGCTTTTATATACGTAACCACAATTCTGTCCAAGAATGGGCGAACCGCCGTTATTGCACTGAAGGTCATTCTGGTGGGCAGAACCCTCATTGGTTACCAAGTGACGATGTTGACAGAAGCTGTTATCTATATCGTTCGTTTCCCTCTGGTTTCCCTGAGGAACTGATTGGCGCACTAATCTTTCGAAGCTGGTTTCGCACAGTAACTGGAAATCCACACTGAACTGTACCATCCCACTTAGGAAAATGAACGCCTGGCTCCACGCTGTCTTGCTAGGCAGAAAGATTATCAAGGTGGGATGGGTAGCGATTTTTCAAAAATCTGCTCACTTTCACAAGATCGCACGCCATCGCTAGCTTTCTCTTTGATCCTAAAGCTCATTTCCAGATTGCATCTGACGTAAGATGCCGCTGGCAGCGATGGCGTGGCGCGTTTCTAAACGGAGGTCCCATGCCGCACTGTCATACGAGCGATCACATGCTATGCTACTGTGCGGATTTGGTAGGCCATGGAGTTAGGGAAAGGCGGCGGGCGGTCCTTAGTCGGTCAGCAAGGGACCATCCACGATTGGTCAGATAGTAGCTCGGATTTTGCGATCCGCAGGTTCAAGGATCAGAGAGCTCCTTCTGTCCTCCATATTCAAAGGCAGGTTCTCCTGCATCTACTAGCCATCTCATCCCTCCGTCACTCTCTGTCTTCGAATTCCTACTAGCTTTTCCGTTCGTCCCGTTGCGGCTCTAATCCACCTCTCACACCGACCGTCCGATGATGGCGTGCCACGCCCCGAATCTGACGGCTCTCTGTCCGCGGCTGCGTGAGTGGGCGGAGGAGCGACATCTCGCGGTCGCCATACCATCTCCACCGGACTGTATCTCCGACTTCCCCGAGGAGCATCATTCCTCGCCATCGCTGCAAGAGCAGCGCCGCCTACTGCTCGGCTCCCGTTGCGGCACTCCCCGTTTCCTCTTCCGCCCCGCTTCCGCCGCTTTCTCAACTTCCGCCGCTTCCGCCAGTTCTTCCCCGCACCCGTCCGCCACCGTCCGTTCCGCCACGTGCCAACCCGTGGCCTCAGCGCCAATTTATCACCTCCCAGCAGCGGCCCGGTCATTTTCGTCTCCCTCTGAAATTTGCGCTCGCAGCGCTGAAAATATTTTCCCAAGCACCAGTCCCGCTTCGCGCGAAACGACGGCGCGTTCGCCGTCCTGTCTCGACGGCGCAGTACCGTCTCCCACCGTGAAGTTCCCCAGAAGCTGCTCAGATTCCGGCACCGGCCGCTTGATGAAGCTGGCGCGATGCGATCTTCTCGGCTCGCGCTGCGGCACGCCGAGGCGCGCCACCGGAGCGGATCCGCGGGCTTTTCACCACCGCGCGCGCAGCGTGACGTGGGACCTTCCGCGGGACGAGATCCCCTTCTCGCACTCCAACCCCGTCCCCTCCCGCGGATGTCTCCGCCTGCTGCGCGCGGACGTGCTGGGATCGAAATGCGGAACGCCCAAGTTCCGCGCACCCGCGGAGCCCGAAGCCATCTGGAGCGTGTAAGACGGCTAGCCGGCAACTTGACGGGTAGCCTGGGGCGCAAACCCTTTTTTGCCGTCGGGTTTGACGGCGACTGGTTGAATAACAAGCAGGGTCAGGGCTAAGGTTCTGGTCTGTGGGTCAAGGTTGACTGCCGTTGCCAGATCCTGCCTCCCACCAATGTGTTCATTTTTTAATCATGGCTGGCCTTGTGGCCATTATCTAGCAGTCATTTATTAAGAGAGTGTATACGTTCTTTGTATCCCCAATCGATTGTGCATTATTTTAAAGTGCCTGAAGCCACTGTATTTTCCTCGACTGCACGACACAAACCTTCAGCAAAACTGCTGAAGAACATTCAATAAGAGCGTACCGAATTCCTATCCTCGTATTAAGATAACATCATATCAAGATAGTACCTTTTGGGTTCAGGGGAATTTTCAGTGGGAGTTTGGTATGAGGTTCTCTTGATACGAGGATAGGAATACGCTCTAACCATTTCCCATCAGCCAAATCAAATCATTCACAACACAACTCCCTCAGCTGCCAACCTTGAAAGCATCCACAAACAGGCCCAATATAATGCCCGCCTTCCAGAAATTCACCAACGCCACTGCATCCACCAATGCACCCTCCCCTTTCTCCACCCCCTCATCACCCTCCACATCTCCACCCGACCCTGTCCCACTGGCCGATACCCCGCCTCCTGCTCCCACCCTCCCCCCTCCTCCTCCTCCTCTTCCTCCTGCTGCTGCAGCAGCTGCTGCGCTCTTGGCTGCGCGTTTCGCGGCGTCGGCGGCAGCAGCGGAAGCGGCGCGCAGGCGGAGGCGGTAGAGGCAGGCGCCGAGGAGCTCAAGGGAGGCGACGAGGGAGCCGGCGACGAGCACGTCCCAGTCGCCCGTCTGCCCCACGATGGTGGAGAGCGCGTTGGCTGAAAAGAACCCCGCCAGCAGCACCAGCACCTTCACAAACACCCGCCTCCTCACGTTCCGCCATCGATGCTGCGAGGGAGGGAGGGTGGGGAGTGCGTGTGGAGAGTGGGAAAGGGGAGAGGGATGGGTTGAGGCAGAGGGTGAACGCAGAGAGAGAAGAGGTCAGAAGGAAACCCGCTAGCAGCACCAACACCTTCACAAGCACCCGCTGCCCTCACATTCCGCCATTGATGCCGAGAATGGGGGAACGGGGAGAGGGAAAGGAGTATGTTGTTTTGAGGCATGGGGGTGACCTTGCGGAGGATACAGCAAGGGACGGAGACTGCCAGCATCAGCAACGCCTTCACAAGCACCCGCTGCTTCACATTCCGCCATGCCGTGAATGGGAGAACGGGGAGAGGGAAGGGAGTAAGACGCTTTGGGGCATGGCGGTGACCTTGGGGGGATACAGCGAAGGCGGAGCCTGCCAGCAGCAGCAACGTAAAATCCGTGTGTGATGAGCCTTGTTTTGAGTTGACTCAAAACGGGGAGAGGGAAGGGAGTATGTTGTTTTGGGGCACGGGGGTGACCTTGGGAAGGGTACAGCAAAGGACGGAGCCTGCCAGCAGCAGCAACGCCTTCACAAGCACCCGCTGTCACACGTTTCGTTCGCCAGAGCTCTGAGCAAGTGGAGAGTGTGATGGGTTGGGTTGTCGCAGCGGGGCGAGCATAGGGAAGTAGTGACGATTAGAGAAAGCCCCACGACCGATACGAGCACCAGGAGAAGAATGTAGAGGGTCAAGGCATGAGTTGCTTCTGGCCCTGAACGTGGCGCAGGGAGAGTGGGAAATGGGGAAGGGATGTTGTGCAATGCAATGCACTCAGTGGAATCACGCCTGTCTACCTGGATAAAATCAAGCGTTGCTTGAACTAGCGATCTTAAATTTGAGCCGTCGTCGGCTGACGGCCTCCCAGACGACGCAGCTGCTGCGACAATCACGCCTCTTCTCCCTCTCCTCCGCTCTCTGTCGCCACAGCTGCTCGAAACAGTACCGCTGTAACCAGCGATCTGGTAACCAGTTCCAAGAAACGGTATCCGGCTCGACGCTGTGTTGCTGATACTGCTTCGAGAGCTGCTCGATGCTCTCTCAAGGCCTCGATTCTGCTTTTGAGTCGACTCAAAAGCTGTGTTGCTGAGGCTGCTTCGAGAGGTGCCCGATGCACTCCGAAGGCCTCGATGTGAATAATGTTTCCGTCGCGCTCTGACTATCAGGTATGAATCGTCGACGGCATGGCTCCGTGCGACGCATGTGCGATGCCGGTACGCGTCTATGGCTGCCGTCGCACATGCGACGGTTGTCGCGTGAGGTCGCTGTGAGGGATCGGCTCGGCATAACGCCTCGCGCGCTGCTCCGCTTTCGGATCCTAACCATACAGAACAAGACCGTTGGGACCGAGCCGCACCGCACTGAATTCCTGCGACCCTGGCTCCCATTGCGTCAGTTACGAGCCTAAGCCCTCATTCGGAGCAGGTAAATAGTGGTTGGAAATTAGTTACCACTCAAATAATATCGAAAATGAGGCGACCATGCCGATAAGTCGTTGTTTGGAAGGAGATGGCGATGCCCAGATTTACGAGACGCTTCGTAATAGGTTTCGAGCAGTGAAGCTGAAATACAATGTTCTTCAGATAACAATTTACAACAAATTTTACCCGAAATTACCAAGTAGGATACCTTTATTGAAAATTGAAATACGGTAATCTACCAGAATCATAGATTTCCAGCCTATCAACTTAGGGTACATTCCGCTCTGGACATGTCCCAATCGTACATGTCCCAATCGATTCAACAGCACGGCATCTTATTACACCGAATTACACCCTAGTTTCAAACATTGTCAAAATTTTCGCGTCTCTGGTTTAGTTCGGTTCGGAGCGGTACACCCGATTGGGACATGTACCATTGGGACATGTCCAGAGCGGAATGTACCCTTAAACTGTTGGGAATAATAAGTCTTAAGCGCCTCTGTCGTGTCGAAACTCAGGACACTAGCGAAGCAGTCCGAATCGAAGCATCGCGAGTCAACCCTCGGAGGTTAGGGTAACCGCCTGGAGGTTACGAGAAGGTCAAAGGTCAGCGACCTTTGACTTGACAAATACAGCGCGACAGAAAGGACACACAACTGACTCGACATTGAGCAGTTGCCCGAGTCGCACTGTATCGAATCGCAACAGTAAAACGGTTTTAACTTATCTATTTGTATTCCTTGTACTCTTATATAAACCTCTGTATTTGCTTGTTTAATTAACTTACTTTGCCCTCACTGACAAAAGTTAGAAGAAGAAAGAGGAATGAACTAGCAGAAATGGGGATACAAATAGCAAATCCTAGAAGGGTTGTACTCGCTATCGAGCACCCCACTACAGGCTAGAACATAAGAATAATATTCTGACACACCCCCATAGCCAAAGTGGGGTGTAATCAGCAGAGCAGGCAAAGCAAAACAAGCTCAGGGTGGATCACAATGTCACCACACATTCTGAGCACAAGTTCAAGAAGAAATAGTTTAGAGTTCACAATTATAAGCAAAGCTAGTGGTAGTCACAACGGGCAAGTGAGGAGGAGGAGGGAGAGTGAGGGGAGAGGAGACAGGAGGCGACGGCTGAAGCTGCAGACACACGGGCAACAGGAGGCAGACTGGCACAGCGGCTACCGGACAGCGCCCGGACTACAGGAGTAACGGGCCCCGCGGCTCAAATAGCGGCGGACGGGCAACGGACCCACGGGCGGCTGGCACAGCTGGCTACGACTGGGCTACCGGGACAGCGCCCCGGACTACAGGTGCTGCGGACGACAAGCCGGCAGCCTCCGCTCAACCTCCCGCAAACAGTCCCACCCCCCTCATACACACCCACTGCTACACCGCTAGCTCCACTCCCACGCACCCCCCTTAAACCCTAAACCCAGTCTCCCACACAACCACCCCCCTCAGCGACAGCTGCAGCAGTGGGAGACGAAGGAGGAGGAGGAGAAAGGGAGGAAGGCACACCGGCCACCCCCATACCCGCCACCCCACAGCTCGCCCCTCCCGTCGTCCGTCGAGGCGACCTGAGGGGGCCGCTTGCGGCCCCCGAAGGGGCCGCGACGGTCGGGGCGGGGTGGTTCACATACTAGCGCAAGGTGGTTCATGTCAGAATATTATTCTTATGTTCTAGCCTGTAGTGGGGTGCTCTATAGCGAGTACAACCCTTCTAGGGTTTGCTATTTGTATCCCCATTTCTGCTTGTTCATCCTCCTTTCTTTCTTCAAACTTTATCATGCTATCAGAGCAGGTCGATCCCCTTGGATCGATCCTGTGGGTGGGTTTCCACCTCGCTTCCGCTGCTACCTTTCCTTCCCGCCGTGCGCCCCGAGGCGCGCGGCGGTTTTCCTTCCCGCCGTGCGCCCCGAGGCGCGCGGCGGTTTTCTGCCCGCCGTGCGCCCCGGGGCGCGCGGCGGTTCTTTGCCCGCTGTGCGCCCCGAGGCACGCGGCGGGCGTATGCCCTACCTTCGCGGGCGTCCGCCCTACGTCGCGGCCCCGCCCTACGTCGCGGCCCCGCCCTGCGTCGCGGCCTCGCCCCTCGAAGCGGCCCCGCCCCGACCGTCGCGGCCCCGCCCTACGTCGCGGCCCCCGCCCTGTGTCGCGGCCCCGCCCCTCGAAGCGGCCCTGCCCGACCGTCGCGGCCCCGCCCCTCGTCGCGGCCCCGCCCCTCGTCGCGGCCCCGCCCCTCGTCGCGGCCCCGCCCCTTGTCGCGGCCCCGCCCTCCAACCAGGCCCGTGGTGGGCCCCTTTCACCACACCGCCTCCCCCCCCCCCCCCCCCCCCCCCCTCCCCCTGCCATTTCCCGTCGTCCGTCGAGGCGACCTGAGGGGCGAGCTGTGGGGTGGCGGGTATGGGGGTGCTCGGTGTGCCTTCCTCCCTTTGCTCCTCCTCCTCCTTCGTCTCCCACTGCTGCAGCTGTCGCTGAGGGGGGTGGTTGTGTGGGAGACTCGGGTTTAGGGTTTAAGGGGGGTGCGTGGGAGTGCAGCTAGCGGTGTAGCAGTGGGTGTGCATCAGGGGGGTGGGACTGTGT